ATCCATATGAGAATTGAGCCGTGAAGTCGGCATTATAAGTTTTATTATAGGAACCATATCGTTAGCTCCCATACAAGAGTCCCCTCCAAATATCTAATCCGTGACAATCTTGATTCTAATGCAATATAATAAAGAACTAGTGGATCACTAATCATCCAAAATAAAAATTACAAGGGGAATGAATTTAAGGCTCAGTTTGGAAAGAGTATAAATATAAATATATACAGTACAAATATATAGAAAATAATATAAAATATAAGATTTTGTACTCTACAAATTTATATTTGTACTTCTTCCAAATAGAGCCTAATATAAATATAAAATATAAAAGAGATTGTATTAATTTTTACCCCCCCCCACCATGTGTAAATAAGGACTGTTTGTCAAACTTAACACGTGTTTAGTAGAGTATGCCCTATATAAAGTAACTTTTCTTATAATGATGAAAGAGAATGAGCATACCACTTAACTGTGGTCAAGATGAGATGATTAATAACTTCCCTTATTTATAACCAAACCCTCTAATTAATTCAAAATCAAATCTTCTTAGTTCCAAGCCTCCTATCATAATACTGGAGCCAGTTTTAAGCAATTTCACAAAAGAATTTTCAAAATCTTGAGCCCCGTTTGGTTTACGGGAATAGGGATCTAGAATCGGAATTGAAATGGGTTATTTCGATTTTAACTGTTTGACTGTATGAAATTGGAATCCCATTCCCATTCCTGATGGAATGACATTCCCCAATTTGAGGAAATGGCCATTCCCTGCCCCTCCCTTGGAAATGAAATCTTATTCCTGCTGATTCCAATTCCTATTTCCATTCCTGTTCGAACAAATAGACTATAGGAATGGACCATTCCGATTCCGATTCCGGAAAATTTCAATACTGATTCCGATTCCAATTTCAACTGTAAACCAAAAGGATCCTAAGATTTTGAGCCCATTGTATTACTAAAATATTATATATGAGCCCATTGTGTCACTAAAAGAGAGGTAATAACTCTAAAACTATAGTCTAGATCAAGAGGGCAAGCTTGGTAAAGATCCCAAAATCTATAAGATTACCAAACAACCTAAGAGGCAGTCTCAGCATGAAAATGCAGGTCTACCAGATGCAAGCGATCAAGAATAGTTCTCTGAAGTTCATTGTCTATTGAATGTTTTTCATTGGGATATTAACCTACCCCTCCCAATATTATAATCAAAATCTAGAATCTCTCTTAACAAAATTCTTTATGTCATGAAGAGGCGTATACCCTAATTTTTTTAAACCCCAAAATTTACTCTCAGCTATATAATCTAATTTATAATTGGTCAAACTTAACCAGAAGGGCATCAAGATCTAAGCCATTAATGATCTTAAATAAGTGATAATAAAATAAAAGCAACTTCCAATTATACTTTTTTTTTTCTAGGTTGACAGACGAGCGTGGTTTTAAATATCAATGAATATTTGACAAATTTCGATTTTAGACTCAGCCACATACACAAAATATGAAAAAAATACCAGATGGGTTTATTTCAGCCAAAAACTTTACTTCGATATAATAAAGGAAACATAAATAGGGTATAGGGGGCTGGGCTACTCCCGTTATATATATATATATATATATATATATATATATTGAAAATATAAATATAAAATTAAAAATATTTTTAAATTTTATCAAAAATCCATCCAAATTTCTGAAATATCGAAAAATTCATCATTGACGAAAGTCTGCAATGACAAATTGGGATCTGCTCCTCACATAGGGTGTCTTACAACAATCTCACAGGCACATCCCATCATGCATTTAGAACATCTCCTGTAAATAATAACACATAAACACAGAGACATTCCCAATGTACAGTGAGATATGCCTGCAAGATCAGTGTGAGGCGCCATGTGTGAGCATATCCGGTCCGATCTCTACAATGACTCGGAATTTGGAAAACTTAAAACCTTACTCATAGGTTGTGTTTGAGATTGCCCCTAGTATTCAAATGCACTTCTAGAAGAGAACTTCATGTAAGCACCTACAAAATGCGTGGGTTTCATTATAGTGATAGTGTTTGATAAATTCCTCCTATTGTATCTTCGTGTCTTTCTTCTTTTCCTTTTATAAATAATTTTTACTTTATCACCAAAAACAATTATTAGGAAGATTGTAAGGGTATTTCATGTATTTAAATGGAATCTTAATTTTATAATCGATCTCAACAAATATAAAATTTTCTGATTTTGTCAGAAGCCAACGGACAAAAAACAAAAGCATCAATTTTTATGCATTCTACAAAAGCAGTTCTGTAGCTCAATTACTAAACACCATTACAACACAGTATAAAGAAGTGTGTTATCTTATCCCTTTAGGCTGTGTTTGGTTGCAATGTAAATAAATTTGCACCGATGTAAAATCATGGCAGTGCAAACTTTAGCTTATTTTATTTGACCACAGTAGAAATGAAGTAAATTAAAACATGAAGCAGAATAAAGTAAAACTCAAAACAAAATTAAACAAGAATTTGCATTTTTTTTACATTTGCACTCCCATACATTTGTACTAGTGTAAATAAAATTGCACTGCAACCATACACAGCCTTAGCAAGCCAAAGAAGAACTTGCTATATGCAATTCTAAACGGGGCCATAATTCAGTATAATATATACTTAGATAGTAGGAGAAGCCCCAAATAAAGTGTAATACAGATTGGGTTGTGTTAAATATATATATGTTAGTATCAATCACCAAATGATTCTAGTAGTAGTGAATATGGAGTAGTTCTTTAGGCTGCGTTTGGAAACGATGCAAATAAGTGAATCCAAATATGTAGTGTAAAACGGCTTATATAAATCGCAAAGTTGGGTTAGTTTTGCAGTGACAAATTTACCTTCTTACCAAACAGACTTTTAGTTGTAATGGGTGCAAACATGAATTTCAATAAAACAAGTGCTTATTTTTTTTATCAAAAGCCCACTTGAATGCAAATTTTCTTCTTTTTTATTGATGTAATTTTACATCTTATTATCAATGTAAATATGCATTGGTCTATCATTTGTCAATGCATAAATGTAATGTTGCCAAACACAGGCAAAAGTGAACCAGAATGCAAATTTACCCTGAACCAAGGTTCAAAGTATTGATACGCCCCCGTGTATTAGCAGGGGCGTATCGGTACTAAAAACTAACCGCTTAATGTTTTTTTTTTTAATTTTTTTTTCAAAATTTGATTTATGAAAATGTTTTTTAAGTTTTTTTTATTGAAATAAATGGGATCCCAAAACACCCGTAAATAAGTGTAGCGAGATCAAAAAATACGATATAATACGCCAAATACAAAGTGTATCGTATCAATACTTTAAACCTTGCCCTGAACTGGAATATACACTCCATTTGCATCGTTTCCAAACAGACTCTGGTTTTATGATGAAAAATTGCGTGACTAAGTGTTGGTCGGTTTAATAATTGGTAATCTTCCTCTATATAATTTACGTGAAAATAGGCTTCCAGTATCCTCTATCCTCGTTATATTTGTAGTGGGTGGATTTGAATTTTGATGGGGTAGGACCTGGTCCCTGTCATTGAAAATGCCTCCCCCTTTAGCTTACATACTCATCCTACGCATATATAATACAAATTTCAACTGATACTTGTCGAATATCGAAAGGAAAAGAAATTTGGAAAAGTCTCCTTCTGATGAAAGAGTAGTAACCGCCCTTGACAGGATTTACGAGTCTCTGGGTGGGCTTTGATATCTTTAGTTCTATAATGAGACAGGGATTGGCTTTTCCATAACAAAGCTAAAAACGTTACATTGAAACGAAACCGAACAGATAAGAGGAATTTAGTAATGAATGGTGGATAAGGGAGACGCAGGAATTAAAGGGGGTGAATGGCTAGATAGAGAAGAAGAGATTCATGGCAGATTTGAGTTCAAGCTAGCAGAGAAATTGACTGGTCCTTGAGACCCAACAAGTTGTAATTCCAATAAATGCAAAAAGGGAAAGGGGATTGTGCGGTGCTTCGTTATGGTCAATAGTTCAATACATATACATATATAAAAGAAGAGAAAAAAAAAATGTAAAATCTGAAAAAGATATCATCAAGAGAAATAAAAACAAGAGATGGCCTTGTTCTTTGTCATCATCGGGAGAGTGGTCACGGGCTTCCCTTGACTCCTTTCATAGACATCCAGATCCAGTAGTCATCCACCTCCTCCAACCCCATCCCATACCTACGAGGAATTTTGCTCCTCCCCCATAAGCTCAAAAGCCCCACCTCTCTCTCTTTCTCTCTCTCTCTCTCTCTCTCTTTTTTGGTCACCATGTGTTAAAATACTTTTATTTTTAGAGATTTTGTATACACAACCTATACGATTTTATTATGCGTCTGCATCTTTCACCCAAACCCACTGTCTAGAAATGACAAAATACTTCATGGGACTACACAATGGGGGTAGTCCACAATTATCAAATAATTTAAATAGGGTTTTCTTTGTTACATCAGGGATATAAATACAGAAGGCATAATACGTATGTTTCTGTTGACTGTTGTGTGAGAGAGAGAGAGAGCTATTTTAAAATTTATAAAACAGATTACATGAGTATGTTTTCTCTAGCTAATAATGGTTTCTTCAATTCATAGAAAGAAGGATATAGAGATGAGGAAATAGGCAATTGAAATAATTGGGTTTGGGTGGTGGGTTAAGAGTAGAAGTGGGCAAGGAAGGGGTAAAAGAAGAAAATGAAATGTGCATAGAAAGAAACAAAAGTTATGGTATAAGAGAGGAGAGGGCCAGAGGGGGCCAAGGCCACCGCTAACGGGCTATGGCCAACCTGTCCTCTTCTCGACATGTCCCTTTCACATTTTAACACCTTAATGCAGGCTTCCTCCATGTAGGGCCTGAAAGCTATGTAGATCTTTCCCTAACTACAACCCCTCCGACCTTTCTTCTTTCTTCTTTTATCTTCCTCCTTTTCCTTTCACTGTGAGAACTAGAGAGAGAGAGAGAGAGATTAACTTTTTAACCATTTTTCTTGTTTTCCTCTCAACTTGGCACTTGCACCACTACTACTCTCAAAGTCGTCCAAAGCTCTTGTATATAAACAAGGGCTAAAGTTAAAGGGTGTTTATTATGATGACCTTAGATACTTGTTAGCTAGCATATGGCAATTGCAGCAGCCATGAGCCAAGACGACAAGGATGATCACGACCATGACATGGTGATGCCGGGATTTCGGTTCCACCCCACCGAGGAAGAGCTCGTCGAGTTCTACCTCCGTCGCAAAGTTGAAGGCAAGCGCTTCAATGTCGAGCTCATTACTTTTCTCGATCTCTATCGCTACGATCCCTGGGAGCTTCCTGGTATATATTCTTTCTTCTCTTCTTCTCTCATAAGTCATATCATATCTCTCTACATGCAACTATTTCTGATTCATCGACCTTGATTCTGATTCTTAATTATTGTTTCTTGAATTATACTTATATAAAATATATTGTTTTCTCAGCATTGGCAGCCATAGGGGAGAAGGAGTGGTTCTTTTATGTCCCTCGTGACCGAAAGTATCGGAACGGTGACCGACCCAATCGTGTAACCACCTCCGGCTACTGGAAGGCCACCGGTGCAGACCGGATGATCCGGACTGAAAACTTTAGATCAATTGGACTAAAGAAGACACTGGTCTTCTACTCCGGGAAGGCTCCAAAAGGGATCAGAACCAGTTGGATCATGAATGAATATCGTTTGCCCCAGAATGAAACCGAGCGCTACCAGAAGGTACTTATCTAGAGGCAGTTGATCATCAACTAATCCATCAATTTTCAAGATTAAAGAATTCTATAAAAACACAAAGAAAGAAAGATGGGGATTTAGGCTTTTATATATTTTGATAATTAAGTCCCTATATCTGTCGAAAATTATGATAATTTCTTCTTTCTTTTTTTTTTCTTTTATTTGGTGAAAGTGAAACTAAACAAAGGAAGACGAAACTAGCTAAGCCAGACTCATCAGGTCTGTGCTGCAATTTTGCAAATGATAATTTGAACATGTCCATTGGACACTAGAATTAATGAATTATCTCTTTTCTTATTTTCTGATCGATCCTTTTTTTTCTTTCTTTCATCAAGTCACAGTACAACTTTACTGCCATGCCATTGTATAGTACCAGAAAGAAATGATTGCAGATCGACCACTGACAATTAAGTTTCCTAATTTTGTTTCATTTGGGCTGTGTTTTTTAGTAGTTGTTAGGTGAGTTAAACCTCATTAAAAACAAATCTAGGAAGAGAATCAGAGATACCATGAATAAACTATAAATCAAGAGAACACAAAAACCCACCCTTGCTTTTAATACCACTGACATTTCTTGTAGCTTCCACCTTTGTTACTCATTGTCTTTTTTCTATCATTCTTGGATTTTGCTTCATCCATTAATTCCTTCTCCATAATTCATATATCATTTATTATTTCCATCCATCTATCTGTCTGTGTGTCTGTCTGTCTGTCTTTGATCAGTATTTATTTTCTTTTTCTTTGTTTTTTCCAAGGGCGAACCAAGTGAAGCCATAGATTTTTGTTTTCAGGCCGAAATTTCTCTTTGCAGAGTCTATAAGCGAGCGGGGGTAGAAGACCACTCCCCACTCCCTCGTTCCGTTTCATCTACACCGGCGGCATCCTCATCGAGAGCAATCCAGCAGACCGACAAAAAGCAGCGTGGCACAGTCGTCCAGCAGCGTGCAACGGCCAGCTTCCAAGCTCTTGGAGATCATTCATCTCCGTCGGAGATGGAAAAGTTGCAGGAAGCAGACGGAAGCAGCAGCACGGAACCGGCCGGGACTGTCCTTGGGCTATCCAAGCCTACAGCTTACAGTGACATAGCTTCGATAACCTCGTTGCAGGCACCAAATCCAGAAGAAGAAGACGTGACACTTCTATCCCACCATTCCAAGCAAGTGGATTCCCTACTAACTGCAGGATGCACCAGCACTCTCTTCACTTGTGCTGCTTCCATGCCAGTTACTACTCCAGTCGACGAGCTCCACAGACTAGTAGAGTATCAACGAGGTTACACAAACCAGCAGCATCATCATCATCATCTTCACACCCAATTCCTCCCTTTACCATCACAACCTCAAAATCTAGCTCTCAACATCCTACCCAACTCTCAGCTGCCAACCTTCTCGGAAAAGGTTTGGGAGTGGAATCCCATCCCAGATGCTAACAGAGATTATACTAGTCCTTTCAAGTAATTAATCAAGCTAAGGAACAACATATATAATATATTAGTTAGATACATATCTTATATTATATATGTTTCTCTTATATATATATATAAATATATTATTATGCATTTTCTCTTATTATGATATTTGTTAACTTCCAAAGCTAATTGATGTTGGTAGAAAACGTATCGTTTGCCTGTTAGGGTTCTATCTGCAATGGATTTATTATTTATTTCCTTTAAGAAGAACTCCAGACTATCAGAAGGGGACGGAGAGATAAGGGTTGTTGTTTCAGGTTCAGGGAACCTCTCTCTCTCTCTCTCTCTCTCTCTCTCTCTCTTGTACTACAGTATCAGCATTTTGAATGGGGATATCATGATTGATTTCTACATAAAAAATGCATAGGGAAATGTGAGTCTTCAGGATGTTTGGTTGGATCTAATTCCAGTGGCCACCGCTCACATTGAAGACAAGAGGGAACTGCACATGTTTGTTTGCTTGTTTGCTGCAGAAAACTAACTGATCCAAAATAAGCACGTAATCTCTTTGATTTCTTCGCAATTGATACGAAGGATAGACGGACATGGAAAAACAACTCCGCAGTTTCGAGCCCATGAGGTATTTCTATTCTCTGTAACTAACCCTAATAAATGTCCATTTGGATAGTTCAACAATAAATTCTCTGTCTCCAAAAGGGAAAGCATGCATTTGGATTCTCTCTCTCTCTCTCAGCCCTTGTCGTAGAGACCCCAATACATGTAATGGGATGTCTGAAATCAATTTTTCTTTCAGAAATTTTTAGCTCCATGGGGCTACACAGCAGGCTAGAATGAATGTTGATAATAGGAGTAGTTCAAATCACCATATATATGAATAGCTTGTGGGCAGTGGAGAGGTTAGATTAGTTGATCGATCCACAGAGAGAGAGGGAACTAACTCATTGCTAGAACTGAGAACAAAAGAGATCCCAAATTACTTGATGTTCCATAATGTTAGTATGCTTGTGTTCAGTACACGTTCGTACCTTCTGACTTGATGACATTGCCATGGAAACCGGTTCATCTTTGCACGCAGCAACATTAAAATGTTTCCTACAATATATAAGAAGCTGAATGGGGTTGTTTATTAGCAAGCTTACCACTTGGAAAAAATGTCACAATAGGAGATAACTGTATTAATAGAAGCATGCATGATCCAAAAGAGTAATGGGTATATATTATATTGGTCCAAATTGCATGCATGGAGCCGAGCTATTATTTCGTACCATAAAATGGCAGGTTTCATAACTTTTCTCCTATATATATATATATGAGTGTCTTCACTGGTGGAGAAGGGATATAACTAATTTCAAGTAATTAAATGCCAACCATACAATCATTTTCTTTTGGGAAATCAAGCATACAAACTTTAAGACTTAGTTTTTGTGGTGCAAGTGATTTAATTACTAACTACTTGTTGGATTCCGCTTAATTAATTTTATTTCAATCTGCAACAACAATAAGGGGGCCATTCTCCAACATGAATTGTTTTTTGTTTTCAATTTGCAACAAAAATGCCATGTACTGTCATTGGATGTATGTTTTCTCAAAGTAAATGTCCAGAGATTTTCAATTTAATTCTAGCAAGATAATTAACATTTTTTTTTCTGATAACAAAACATGTTTTCACTTCCATAAGGCTGATACTAGGTATTGTTTTATATGTAGCATAGACACCAATATTTCCTATGCAGCACCCTTTACAAGTTCTGCTTCTAAGTTTCTGCTATGAATCATGTCGACCCATATTAATTAAATTGCTTTGACTACAAAGTATAAACAAAAACAAAAAAGGTGAATCAATATCCATTCAATCAGAATGTCTATCTAAATTTCGCATGACACATCAAAACATAATGACTACCAAAGGATTTAATTTGAAACCAGAGATTCAAGAATGTATTAATGGTTTAAATCTTGGAAGGGATAAATGACACAATCAAGAATATATATTTTTTTCTTTTGTGTGTGTGTGTTTTGTTTTAAGCAAGGTTCAAAGTATCTATATGTATCAGCATATACGTATCGTGCCAATGGCTTCCTGATACACCCCTCCAGGGGTTGTATTGGGTCATACACTGGTTCAAAGGATAGTCGGGCCTTAAATTGACCCCTCTAAAAAAAGTACCAATACAGGTCGATACACCGGTAGGGCATATCGGCCTATATCGATATTTTGAACCTTGGTTTTAAGAATCATTAATTAATATTTCTTAGACAAAGTATAAAAACCTTTGTTTTTAAAAATTGTTCACTTCAAAAAATGTCCCAAAGTGTTCGATTGGAAGATATATGAAAGAACAAACTAATCACCATAGATTTCTCCAAACTAATTAAACCTCCTCTCTAGTTTCTAACAACTACCTTAATTGCCCCCTCCCCCCTCCCCCCCATTTGACTTCTGCAAAAAACCTCCCTTCACATATTGATGACCTTAAAAATCGATGTGTTAGATGATATGTGCGAAGGAGATGAATAGATGTCGTTGCCACACCTTCTTCTTCTTTGCTACCAGAAATCGAAACAATGACCACCCCTCCCTCTCTTTTCTTCCTTGTTTTTTTTCTTCTCCTTCTCTTCTGATGCAGCTCAGGATAGAAACTATCGAGAGCTGTAGTCTGCTTCACAGGTATGGCTATGGAAGAAAGCCACACGAGTAACCTACAGAGATCAAGGAAGATAACAGAGAAATATAGAGAGAGAGAGTAATGAAAGAATTGTGGTCGTGTATATCCCCTTCCGTCTGTGCACAGTCCTTTTATATACACTCCTATACATCATTAACAAACTAACCGCTTGTAACTACCAAGAACAAGTATTGACAAAATAACAGAAATAACAATGTAGCAGAATTAACAAACTCCAACTAACTCCCTAACACTGATAACTCAGCAAGCTCGGTAACTGCACTGCATCAAATCCCCCCTCCTCAAGAACCTTTGTCCTCAAAGGTCAAAATTGGGATACTTTTGACAAAGGTCATAATAAAATTCCCAAGTAGCCTCCTCGGGTGGCAGATTGCGCCATCTAACGAGCACCTTTGTAGCAACAACATTCCCACATTTAACAAGCTGTCTATCCAAAATAGCTTTAGGTATCTTTGGAACAGTAGGATCCACCATAAAAAGAGGCACATCAGAAGCAATAGGAGAAGAAACACAACAACACTTCAACTGAGAAACATGGAAGATGTTGTGTATCTGAGCACCCACAGGAAGTTCAAATTTATAAGCAACAGCCCCAATTCTGTCAAGAATTTTGTAGGGACCATAGTACTTAGGCCGAAGCTTGTGATAAGGCTGCCCTGCAACAGTCGCTTGCCTATATGGCTGCAACTTTAAAAACACCAAATCTCCAATCTGAAACTCCCTTTCACTGCGATTTTTATTTGCCAACTGAAGCATTCGATTTTGGGCCCTCTGCAAATGAAATTTAAGAGTCTTCAACGTAGCCTCTCGTTGTTGCAAACTACGATCAACCTCAGCATTCTTCGATTCACCGGGCAAATATGGCAACTAGAGTGGTGGAGGCTGCCCATAAACAATTTCATAGGGAGTAGCTTGAGCAGAGGAATGGAATATGGTATTATACCACCATTCTGCAAGCGGTAACCAGTTGCTCCATGTAGTCGGATATTCATGACACATGCACCTTAAGTATGTTTACAGACAACGGTTAACAACTTCAGTTTGCCCATCCGTTTGTGGATAATAAGCAGAAGAACGCAACAAATCAACACTTTGAAACTTGAAAAGCTCATTCCAGAAATCAGAGAGAAAAACTGGATCACAGTCAGATACAATAGAGTCAAGAAGACCATGAAGCTTGAATACTTCATTGAGGTAGACTTGAGCTACCTGCAAGGCTGTATAAGGATGCCGAAGGGCCATAAAATGTGTTGCTTTACTGAGGCGATCTACTCCAACAAATATAACATCCTTCCAAAAAGAAGGCAATCCTTCAATGAAATCCATTGAAATGGAGGACCAGACAGTCGCAAGTATGGGAAGTGGCTGCAAGAAACCAGGATAAGCTGAAGCATCATATTTGCAGGTTTGACAAGTTTGGCAAACTCTTATGTACTGTTGCACATCTCTATTCATTCCTTTCCAATAGAAAAGTGATTTAAGCCTTTTCAATGTAGCATCTCTCCCTGAATGTCCCCCAAGTGGTGAGTCATGCATCCACTGCAAAAAGAGTTGTTTAAGTGCAGGAAAGTCCCCAACAACCAGCTTGCCATTTCTGCGCAGCTACCCATTACACCAAGTATAACCAGGGTGGTTATTGGGTTGCTGCTGAATATCATCAATCAGTTTTTGGAGTACTGGATCATTAGCCCAAGCCTGTTGTAATTTGGAATACAAATCAGTATCAATGGTATCCAAAGCCATCAAAAGAAGTTCAGAATTGGGCAGTCGAGAAAGAGCATCCGCAACTTTGTTTTCTTTGCCCTTTTTATATTGTATCTCAAGGTCATACCCCATTAGTTTAGCCATAATATCCTGCTGGGCAGGAGTAGAAATTTTCTACTCCAAAAGATATTTAATACTCTTTTGATCTATTTTAATAATGAAATGTCGATTGCGCAGATAAGTGCTCCATTTCTGAATTGCAAACAAGATAGCCATAAGCTCTCTTTCATACACAGATTTCCTTTGATGCAGAGGACTTAGTGTGCGACTAATGTAAGCAATAGGGTGGTGATCTTGCATCAGAACAGCACCAATTCCCACCCCTGATGCATCCGTCTCAATGACAAAAGGTTTATTGAAGTCTAGGAGGGCTAATACAGGAGCAAAACACAGGGCCTCTTTCAGTTTATAAAAGGCCTGTTGTGCTTCAACACTCCATACAAACTGATCTCTTTTTAGTAAATCAGTGAGGGGCTTAGCTATAAGACGATAATGCTGCACAAAACGCCTGTAGTATCTTGATAAACCCAAGAACCCTCTTAACTGTTTAAGTATTGTGGGAGATGGCCAATTACGCACAACAACTACTTTGCTAGGATCTATAGAAACACCTTTGGCAGAAATGAAGTGACTG